AAAGAGCCCTTCTTTATCCGCGCTGGCTGTTGTCACCATGTTGATGACGTCAGCGACGCGGTTTAATCGGGCGCGGCTTAGTCGAGCGCGGTTTTTGTCGTGCCACGGTTGCCTGTTGCTTTTCCGGTTCTGGCGCGCACACGTGCGTGCTGGGCAGCTGGCTTTCGCACACGCATGCACGCAAGAAACTGGATAAACCAGGTGACCGGCACGCATGTGAATGCCGGAAACAGGAAGCTCGGCTTCCCAGCGCGCGCATGCACATCGGGGAACTGCTCTTCTGGTTTCTGTGTCCGTCCCCCACCCCTCCCGTTTCGGCACTCCGTGCCAAAAAAGGTTCACCAGCATTGGGTTAAATGTGTAGAAAATTAAGTTCCAATGGGAGTGGAATTGGCTGATCAGCATGCCATCTCGCTCTTACGTAGTCGCTTTAGTTCATATCTCTGCTTTAATTGCAAAGGTGTTTTTTTTTTCTTTTACAGAAAAGTGGGCTCCCATGAATTGAATGGGGGGAAGCAACGGCCTGCGCATGAGTCATCCTTCCATACCATTCAGTGGAAGGCTTAATTGACATCTCCTTAGCCAAACCACTTCAGGGCTGATCCATAGAAGTCAAGCTGTATTTTGCATCTCAATAGGGAGGAGGGAAAAAATAATTGGCACGAAAAGCAAACACCTATTACGATTTTATTTCCAAATGCCTATTTGTGCTAGTTCTTTTTCTCTCTCTCTTTTTTTTAACGTCTCTTTAAATTTGCATTAATGCTGTGTTGCTTCTTTGGATGAGAATCAAAAGTGTTAAGTTATTTGTCTCGAAGGCCTGTGAAGAGATGGGCAAGCATACCTCCAGGACACCGATGCTGAAGGGTAGAGCGGCCTAGCCCATCCTGGAGGGGCTAGGTTGCAGGGCTGAGAATCCTCTATCATTATTGAGAAGAGCTAGGAATTCTGGGAACTGTAGTCCAATCCATCTTAATCAATGCTGGGTCAGAAAAGATACACCATGCAACGCCAACATTTCTAGGTTGGATTCAGAATTAGACCTGGCACACAAAAAGGTCACAATGAACATGGACACACCCATCCTTCTTTGCTCAACTAGGAATTGGCTCCTAGCAACGGGTACAAATTTGCTAATTTCCCATAGTTTTATTAAGAAAGTTCTGCATGTCGAGAGACCTCAATATTTAATGAAGCAAGGTAGTGAACCCTGTTTGATCCAGTGGTTAAGGCACCAAGCTACAAACCAGGAAGAGGTGAGTTCTCGTCCTGAAATAGCCGTGAAAGGCAGCTAGGTGACTTTGAGCCAATTGCTAGGAGATAGTGAGTTCTAATCCTGCTTTAGGCAGGAAAGCCAGCTGGGTGACTCTTTCTCAATCTCTTTCTCAGTCCAATCCACCTCGGAGTTATTGTAGAGAAAATAGGAGGGAGGGAGGTGTATTGCGTACATCCACTGCATTGAGTTATAAAACACATAAAGGTAAAAGGTTCCCCTCACACATATGTGCTAGTCGTTCCCGACTCTAGGGGGCAATGCTCATCTCCACTTATAAGCCAAAAAGCCAGCACTGTCCGAAGATGCCTCTGTGGTTACGTGGATGACATGACTAAATGCCGAGGGCGCACGGAACGCTGTTACCTTCCCATCAAAGGTGGTTCCTATTTTTCTACTTGCATTTTTTACATGTTTTCGAACTGCTAGAAGCTGGGACAAGTAACGGGAGCTCACTCCATTACGTGGCGCTAGGGATTCGAACTGCCAAACTGCCGACCTTTCTAATCGATAAGCTCAGCATCTTAGCTACTTGAGCCATCGCATCCCTTATAAAAACAATAAAGGCAGGATAATAAATAAAAGCAATAGCAGTTAGACTTATATACCGCTTCATAGGGCTTTCAGCCCTCTCTAAGCGGTTTACAGAGTCAGCATATTGCCCCCAACAACAAT